TACAGGTCCCAATAGTTCCAGAGAAAGGAGTGATGATGGGCAGTAAGAAGTAAGGGGGAGTCATGGAAGGGGGGGCTGGGATGGGGTAGGAGATGCCAGTCTTTGGAGCAGATTAGCTAGACTGTGGGCTCCCAGGAGAACATGGTGGGGATTTCCAAGGACCACTTACTCACCCAGGAGTGGGAGGGGTGCCTGGTGGTGAGAGAAGTGTGTCTGCGTGAGGGTTTTGGCTGAGGCCAAGCGGTGAGAGGCTGAATGGGCGGCAGACTTCCAGAAGTGCAGACAGAGGAGACAGAGCAGTAATAATGACTTGGACACATGGGAGGAAAAAATAGCTCAGGGACGAAGACGACGCCAAGGTTTCTGGCCTTGAGAAGATCATAAGGACCTGAGGTGAGCACTAAGGGGCAAAGAGCAGAGTTCCTGAAGGAACTGGGCAGTTGTGGGCGAGGAAGGCAGAGTGGAACCAGAGGCTTGGGGCAGGTATTTGCAAAGGAGAAGTGTGGAGTTGTGATATCCCCCCCCAAATGGGCAGGACCTGAGCATTCTGGGAATCAAGAGGCACTCATCCCCCAAACAGAGGAATCTAGAAATTCTAGAAGATCTCGAAAGGTCTTTAGCACTAGAACTAAAGGCAGCAAGCAGATGAACAGGGCCAGTAACTATCACGTAGAATCTCAGGTTTTCTCTCTCAAGAGGAGATTAATGGTACCACCCTTCTACGCTTGATGGGATTATTCTAGTATTCATCTAGTTCTCCATTTCCACACATATTTCTTGGCTTTCTATGAGAGTGGAGGAGTGCTCTTGTAAGTTCAGGAGACACGGTGGCTAGCAAGACAGGCAAGAGGTAGGACCATTGCTTTGATTTGAATAGTTAGAAAACAATTTCATGGGTTGTTGAACAGGTCTTTTACTGCAGTCTGATTTTCCATTAGAACAATAAAGGCGAAGCTGCCTCACATCATGAAAAGAAGTGATCACTTCACTAAAAGCAGACACGTTCAACAATTGTCCAACCTCATTCCCATATTCTACAAGTGGAAGGGATTGAAGAAAGTCACCAAGCTAAAGAACTATTGTCTTAGTGGAGAGGCTAAGATTTCCCTCTGGGGATTGTTTTCCAATGCAAACAATGGAAAGGGAGCCCCCAAGAGAACTAATCATGGAGATCTGGGGGGCCCATCAGGAAGACCTGCAAGGCTCCTCAGAACTCTCCCTGCACTAAAGCTGGCTGAGTTACTAGAACGTGCAGGCCACCTGGATGTACACACCAAAGCATAGTGAGAAAGCTCTGGAGAGAACCCAACCTATGTTTCAGTCTGCTACTGGGAACTGAAGAGCTACATCTACAGCGTGCACTTCATGTGACCAGGGAAATTGACTTGAAGGAAGGGTTGTATGGAAGAGTAACAGTCACCTCACCACTGGTTTTAGACATAGATGTGGATGAAGTCTCGTTTAGGCCTGGGGGTGCAAGGATCTCTAAGAGGCTGACCAGACAGTGCTTTATTACAATGGTAAAGGTAGAGGGGTTGCAATCCTGCAAAGAGCCTCCCAGGAACCCACAAATAAACTCACGGAAGAGCCAGCACATCGCACCTGCCAGCCTGTGACACCTGCATAAAGACTGACTACTTTCTCTCCAGCATCTTTTTCCCATCCAGAAAAAAAACAGACCATGCTCTACTACTGGTTACTGAGCCAAGGGGGGTGAGGGTGTGGAATCTATGGAGGGTCAAGAGGAATTTTAAATTGGGTGTGAGGTTGAGGTTTTGATTTGGACAAGACCAGGCATTTTAATGCCTGGATATTAGTCTTAATGACCAAAATGAGACTGTTCTTGTGACTTAAAGGGATGGAAAAAGCAAGGACTCTGTCTGAGATGTCATGAAGGGTGGGGAAGGGAAATTCATCATAAAACCATGGAAAAGTGATGGGTGGAGAAAAATAAGGCCATTTCCTGATTGTCTCCCTACAGGTTCAGCCAACTTGAGAAGCCAGTTGTACAGCAAACAAATAATGTCAACTACTTAGTAGAGCAATGAAGAGAGTAGAACCAGGTGACAGGAGAGGGTGGCTTGCTGGTGGTAGTGGTGGGTGAAGATAGTCTACACTGAGTGGTCACGGGCAGTCATTCCAGGTGATAGCTGAACTAAGAGGGTGGAGCAATGTGCAGCTAGTCCCACGAATGTCTTGGAAAAGGGTTTTCTCAGCATTAACCTGGTTTGTTAAGGAGCAGAGAGAAAGCCAAGACAGCTGCAGTGTGATGAGTACTTGAATTAAGAGCGAGATGATTATGCAGGAGTTGAGGCTTTCTTCCAACATTAGGTATTGACTGTGCTTGTCTTTATTAGTGTGGGAAGCTGCATACTGGTACCCTCCTGCTTGTTCCTTCACCTTGCTCCCTGAATTAGGAAGTGGTTTAAAATCGGGAAAGGTATGTGTCAAGGTTATCCTTTCTCTATAACTGTTCAGTCGGTATGCTGACCAAATCATTCAAGAAGTTGCACTGTATGAAGAAGAAAGTGGCATCAAGGTTGCTGACTAAGATGTAGCAACAACCTGTATTATGCAAATTACACAGCCTTGCTTGCAGAAAGTGAAGAAGACTTGAAGCACTTTCTGCAGAAAGTCAACGACTATCATCTTCAATATGAATTATATCTCAGCATCAAGAAAATAAAAATCCTCATCACTGGCCCCACAGGCAACCTCATGATCAAAGGAGAAAAGATAGATTTTGTTAAGGACTTCATTGTACTTGGATCCACGATCAACACCCCGTGATAGCAGCAGTCAAGAGATCAAAAGACACTGAAAATACTAAAGAACACAAATTTAAAGACTAAGGTTTGCCTGATCCAAGCCAGGGTATTTTTAATTATTTCCAATGCATCTGAAAGTTGGACAATGAATAAGGATGGCAGAAGAAGAATTGAGGCTTTTTAATTGTGGTGTTGGAGAAAGTACTGAATACCCATGTATTGTTAAAAAGAACAAACAAATCTTTATTGGAGAAAATGCAACCAGAGTGCTTCTTAAAGGCAAGAAAGATGAAACTTTTTCTTATTTACTTTGGACATGTTGTCAGGGCTAATTCTTGGGAAAAGACACATGCTGGGAAAGGTGGAGTGCCAGAGAAAGAGGAAGACCCTCTAATGGACAGACACAACGACTTGAACAATGGGCCGAGCATTTCTGAGTTGGGGAGGATGGTGCAGGACAGGGCGAGGCTCAGATCTATCTTCACTGGGGTGCTACGAGCTCAGTGACATCTAACAACAGACTATCATACTATCATAATGGTGCAGCCATGTTTGCCCAGACGTTTAGGCTTCTGAGCAGGAAGCCATGGTTGTTGGTTGGACCACTCAGCTGGATGGCTTTTAGCCCCTCACTCTTCACTGCCAACATAAAAAGAGGTGAACACACACTTGTCTTGTAGCCTGGAAAGGAGACCTGTGGTAACTCAACAGTTGCCGTCTTGAGCTACTAATTCAAAGCTCCCCAGTTTGAATCCACCAGCCTCTCTCTCTACAGGAGAAATAAAAGGCACAGTCAGCTCCCACTCACATCCACAGCCTTACCCTTTGGGAAGGCATCATGAGTAAGAACCCACTTGCAATGGTAGCAGATGGGTGGTTTCTGGGATTGATCACCAGCTCCGAGCTTCATGGAAGCTTCCTTGGAAAACTCCCCAGGGAATGAGGGGCTGGGTGGCTGAGTCCAGGACAGAGTTCTGAGCCAGAGGCAGGAGGCCACAATTTCATTGCCCTCTTTGGCACATGCTGTCTCGCAGAAGTGACTTTCTTCCAGGCTTCTTTTCTTATCTATGCTTCTGTGAAAAGAGGGCACCTCTTTCTACCTTTTAGTATCACCACCGACCTTGAGGCGCACACACCCCCCGCCAAAAAAAAAAAAAAAAAAAAGCAGTGAGGATGGGGAGCTCTGGTGTAGAGAGCTGCGACGCTAACTCAAAAGGAGGCGGCTCTTTGGCAGTTCAAATCCACCAGTGAGCTCCGCGGGAGAAAGACGGATAATCCCCTGTGAGATTTACAACCTCTCCAATCCCGCTCGCCACAGAACGGTGATTAGATTCAAGGAGGGAAGGAGTTGCAGGGTCTAGCATGAACGGGCTTTGGGGCCGAGACAAGGCCACTTGGAAGCTTCCAGCTCACACGCTATCCGGGCAGCTGGCCGGTTTCTGTTCGCTCCAACAGCACCATGGCCAAGGACACGGCCAAGTCCACTAGAGGGCGCGCGCGCGCCCCGGCGACCTTCCAGCGCTCCCTCGACCCGCGGCCCCGAGGAGGACGAGCCCCCTGGCGTTGCCAGCGCAGGCAGTCGGCCGGCAACCTCGTCCCCGGGGACGGGCGCCCCCCAGCGGCTGGGCCAGGGAACCGAGGGGGCCTGGAGCCTGCTTCTTTCGCACATACTCATTACCTTAAGGATTCCTTCGAACCTTCGAGGCTACAGTCTTGGCCAAGCCACCGAAAGTTCGTTCCTGAGGTTGAAGCAGGACATAAACCCAGAACAGGCTGGAAAGTGGAGTTCGCTCAGGGCAGGACAAAGGTGGCGCGGCAGCCTCCATGTCCCTTAGCAGCCCTCGGGTCAGCCCTGCGCCACCCCCAGCTCCTCAGGGGTTAATCCCCCTCGCCGCCTGCTCGCTTCCCGGTGCCAAAGTGGGTGTTGCTGGAATTCCTCTCTCCCTCTCCCGTAATGAGGGGGCTGAGCTGTCCCTCCGAGGAGGGGGCATGGTGTGGATAAAAGAGACGAAAAAGCAGCGGAGGTTTCCAAAAATAAAACCGTCCGATTCCCTTCGTAGTGACAAGGAAGGAGAAGCGAAGGTGCGGCGGCCGTGCGCGCTCAGCTGCAGACGAAGCGCGGACGCGAAGCGCAGGGCGCGCAGACCCCACTGCACACGCCTCCCTGCCCTCTCTGGGGGACAACCTGGCCCCAGACGGCTTATTTTGGGGGCCCTCTAGACGAGGCGAAAGCGGGCCGTCTGGCAGAGTCCTGAGCGCAGCCCGCGGTCAACTAGAGCCGCCAACTCCAAGTCCCCGCGAGGCTCCCCGCGCGCACGGCTCCCCCGCAGCCCCCAGCGCCATGAGGCCACCGCCCGCCGCCTGCTACCCGGGGTTCGTCCCGCAGAACTCCTGGAGGGGCTTGTTGTCGCTCCTCCTGGTCCTCTTTGTGGGCATGGGTCGTGCCCAGAGGGACCCCGCGGGGAGATACGAGCTGGCCGGCAGAGACGCGGATCGGCTGAGGCGCCCCGGGGGCAGCCACCCCGGAGCGGCTGCGGCGAAGGTGTACAGTCTGTTCCGGGACCAGGACGCAGCGGTTCCGGGCTTGCTGCCCGCCGAACGCGCCCAGCCGAGCTGGGGGAGCCCCAGGAAGGCCGGCGAGGCAGAGGCGGGGAGGCCGCGCCGAGTCCAGTCACCTGCGCAGCCGCGGAGAAGTAGACCCCCGGGCCAGCAGCAGTCGGCAACCCGGCCCCGGGCCGCCCCCGCTCTACCGCGTTCTCGGACCCCGCAGCGGCCCGGGGCTGCGCCCCCAACCCCGCCTCGAGGGCGGCTCACGGGGTGAGCACTGGAGAGGGGTGCATGGGAGGAGCGAAGGCTGGAGCTGTGTGCGCACACTCATGGAGGGGTGTGCAGGGGAGAGGAAAGGGGGTGGGGCCGTGCCCTGCGTCCTCCTGGCCTCAGTACTGCCGGGGTCGGGCACCGAGTTCCAGCCCAGGGCTCGAATCGCGGATTTGAGCTGTGACCGCCTCCGCCTTCCCCACTCTTTCGAACTAGCTCGCGCGCGGAGCCCGGACGTGAATAATCTCTCAAGGCACCTCTGCCTGGGGCGCGCGCACCTCGCATTCTCCGCGCAGCCGGGATTCGAGCGGGAGTGGGTGGGGCACCGGGTGAGCTGCGAGGCAGAAGCAGGGCCCACTGGAATCCGGGAGCTAGAAAAGTAGGCGCGATCGTGCAGGCTCCCTCCGGGTGGAAGGTGTCGGGTCTGCTGGACCAGGAGGCAGACGCATCTCAGGAAGGGGGCTGGCAGCGGCGCAGGCGCGCGCTGGCGTGTGGGCCGGGCGCAGGTCGGCGGGGGATGGCCAGGGGCGTGAGGAAGGGAGCAGGCACGGGTTTAGGGGCTCTGGGCAAGGAGCCTACTTTCAAAGTCTCTGTGGCAGAGTGATCTGTGCATGTGGCTGCCTATCTAGATGTCTGTGCTAGTCAAACACTTCCCCACAGCTCAATTACTATGCCTCTGTTGGGTACCACCTGTGGCCTCAAGGTGTAGAGGGGTCCCCAGCAACCTTTCCGCATCATCGAGGCTCCTGGGCTGAAAGCTTGTTAGTATGAGAGGTATCTCCAGCGGACGGTTGTCATTGGTGTTGACCTGCCCCCAGTTTACCATTTCTGTTTAGTCAGTGTGTTCAGCACAAAGGAGGCTGTAACTCACCAGGTGGGTCAAGTAAGCCTCATGGCCTTTGCGCTAGGCTTTTTTCCCCTGATAAACCCTTCCCTATTTCAGCCCTGTTCACTCTCTTGCTTCATTCAGCTCTCTGATCAGAGGCCTTCTGTAACCACCCTGCACCACCGCTTTCCCCTAATTTGTGTCTTTGGAGCATTTATCACTCCCCAGACCACACTAATGTTATGTTGCAGGGTTCCTAGAGCCTAGAATGGCACTTGCAGAGGGCTGGTGCTTATAAATGATCTGTTGAATGGATGAATGAACTCCCTGCTGCGCTTGGAAGGTACAGAAAAGTCAGCTTGAAGCAATATAGAGTAGACCCACTGCTGAGTCTCTTACTCATTGGATCACTCAACACGTATTTATGAAACATCTGCTACATTTCTGATTTTTTTCTTTTCCTGACCTGTGCACGTGAATGTATGCTTCCTAACAGCGTGTGTGCAGAGTGTGGCGTATGGGATAAGAGCCCAGAATGAAAGGCACTGCTTTTGCTGGAAGAACAGATACTTAAAATTGAGATAGAGAAATGAATAGATACATACTGGAGGATGAACTGTTTAGTACTGAAAGCTTCATATGAAATGTAGAAGCAGCTGTGGTGCTCAGAGAAAGCCCCTAGGGCTTGTAGGCATCGTGAGGTGAAGCATGGGGAAAGGAAAGGTTGTAGAAGTTGAATGTAAAGGCAAAGGTGACATACAGGTGCAGCGCTGCCCAAGGACGTGGATGTGTCATTGCTGACCTTGGCACATGGACAGGACTGCATCTCAAGTTGAGAGGAACCCGGAGAGCTGAGGCTGGAGGGGGAGGCTGGGCTAGATCATGGAAGACCTGTACTCTGGGCATTTAGGCAGTGAGAGGGAGTGAAGAGAAAGTGAGAGAGTGGAGGCTGGGCTGTTTAGAAATTGAGAAATGAAGTGGTGATGAGCAAAGCAGACCATCACCTTTATAAGGCTGATGAAAGTGCATAGGTGTGTGAGGACCAGGTACCTGCTAAACACAGGGGCACATATCAAATTGTGTGCAGGTCTTGGCCCCTTCTCCAAATCTTCAACTTTGGTAAAGGGTGAGTTCTTGACAGTCCATACATACCATGAAAGAAGGGGCGGGGCCACGTGATAATCTTTATTGGCTACCCAGGTCCAATGACTTCTAGCCAGATCGATCACGCTTGCCAATTGCCTAGTGGTCACCTCAGGGCCAAGGAACAAGTGTCACCTAGTGGTGAATCTTGGAACTGCAGTACAACTACTGGGAATTCTTTCTTTATTGAACAAATAAAAATACACATGAAAGGCCTCCTATATGCCAGGCACCGTACTAGAACGGGGGATGTAACACTGACTAAGAGACAGCTCCTGTGTTCATGGCACTTACAAGAGTAGGGCTTTGTTGAACACAGGAAAGATTTATTAGCATGTGATAGGCATTATGCCTAGTGTCTGGGATATAACAGTGAGCAGAGTAGAGAGAATTCTTGTACTCATGAAATTGATTGGACGAATTAAGCCAGCTTCTTCCCAACACCAGTGGTTCTTGGACCAGCCTCACAGCACATCACGATCACATCTCTACCTTGTTGCTCCAGTTTTATTAATATTTTTCTTTCAATTCAGGATTGTGTTTTCTCTACTTTTAAATATTTTGTGTTATGACATTTTACAAGCAGACAGAGAGCTCCTGGGAAGAATATAACACAGCAGCTTTGTTGTTGTTATGTGTCATCAAGTCGAGTATGGCTCACATCGACCCTATCAACAACGGATCTGTGCCCTGCCCGGTCCTGTGTCAACCTCATCTCCTCTAATATACTTGAGCCCATTGTTACAGTCACTGTGACAATACATCTTCTTGAGCGTCTTCTTCCCTTTTACTGACCCTCGACTTTTCCAAGCCTGATGTCCTTTTCTAAGGACTGGCTCTTCCTAACAATGGGCCCAAAGTATGCGAGACAAAGCTTCAACATCGGTGCCTCCAAGGAGCAACCTGATTGCACTTTCTCCAAGACATATTTGTTTGTTCTTTTGGCAGTTCATAGGGTATTCGGTATTCTCCAATGCCACAACTCAAAGGATTGGCTTTTCTGTCATCTTTATTCATTGTCCAACTTTCAGATACCTAAGAAGTAATTGGAAGGACCATGGCTTGGATCAAGCACACCTCAGTGCGTAAAGGGATAGTCTTTAAACTGACATCCTTCCTATTTACCACTTTCCCCCCTCATTAGTAATCTTCTTTTATTTATTTATTTTTAAAAATTTTAATGAACGTTTACAGAGACTTTGAATTTCCATTCATTCATTGTTGCATTTTTCTCCCTACCCACCCCTCTCCACCCAATTCACTCTTTGAAAAGTAAAAGAAAAATTCTTTCATTGTTATACAATCCCTCCCCCAAAGTCCACTCCATTATGCAGCCTTCATTCTGGACTCCTGTCATGCTAATAATACCTAATCATATATTGCTTTTAAACACTTTTGAAAGGTCTTTGACAGATTTATGAATTCTTATTTTTTGTATATTGCTCCAAACTTTTCATTGAGGTTTCCTTTATAAATTTTTCCAACCTCTCTCCCCAGAGTTAACTACTGTGCTGAATTTACTTCTCATTCCCATGCATGTTTTCATACATTACCACAAATGCATGTGCATATAAAGATACACAATATTGAGCTTGCATATTTTAAGCTTAGATAAGTAGTGCTGTGCTTTATTATTATCCCCCTTCAAGTTTTTTTTCATTAGACTTTTGAGATGAAACCATGTTCATGTAATCAGCTCTAATTTATTAATTTTAGCTGCTGTGTATTATTCTATTGTTTGGATGTACCAAAGTTTATCTATTCTCCTGTTTTTTTGATGTTTAGGATGACTTAGCATTTTTTCTTCAAACTCAAACTTGTTGCACTTTTGTTTGAACTGACTCATTTCAGCAGGTTTTAAGAGACTGTAAATCACATGAGAAAAGATTTCCCATCTTTCTCCCACAGAGTACCTGGTGGATTTGAACCATTTATTTTTGAGTTGGCAGCTCAACTTCTTACCCTCTAGGCCACTGGAGTTCCTTCTGCCTAATCTAGCAGTACTTGGAGCTCAGAGCCATGACTTAACATTTAAAAAATATTACAAATAGTGGCTGGCTAAATTTTTTCTTACATAAATAAATCTGTGTTAAAAGGAAACTTTTTATCACAATCATAAGTAAAAAATGGTAGCACTTGCCATAAACAGAAGATAATTGAAGGAAAGATGAAAGCAAGATAAAATGTTCTTAAATTCTAATCTGACACTTACTTTAGGAAGCTCAACCCTGTGGGTTATTCTCTCTATATTGAAAAGAGACATTGGCAAATGTTGGGGAGCCTCAGATGGAGACTTTTTAAAAAATCTGATCACTAATCAAAAGATCACTGGAAGGGAATCCCTTTCTTTTGTGATCCAGCTTTGTTGAATAATGTGAATGTGTAAACCTAAAATCCTCTTGCCTACCCTCACTTCTGTTCCTCCAACTCTTTTTTGGAAATACTGGGTTAAGGGAAGCACACCGATATTTCAAGTACCATGTGTCAGGCACAGGCCAGAGCCTCTAAGAGGAAGAAGAAAGAACCCTCCTGTATCCAGGGAGTAAACACATACAGCCAATGGCTAACTGTCATGGTGGGTGGACAGAGAATGGTGAAGGCTGGGTAAGTGTCAGGAGAAGTATTACACACAGAAGGGTAATGTTTGAGCTGAAAGTCTTGACGTATGGAAAGGATTTCAGTAAAGCCTAGAGGAAACAGCTCTGGTGGCCTAGTAGCAAGAAGATGCACTGCAATCCCAAAGGCACACAGTTCGAGTTCCACAGGAGAAGGATGGGCAGTCTCCTTCAATGCGATTAACTGCCTCTGAAAACCCGCCATAGGGTCAGATATGGGTCAGTTCCGACTCTACTGTACACAGCAACAACAAGAGGAAACAGAAGGTTCCAGGCTGAGATAGCACCTAAGCAAAGACATCCAAATGTGACTGTATGTGATACACGGGGGAAATGGCAAAGTCTGTGTCCCTGGAGGATCACAGCCTTGGTTGTGGTGGTTGTGGAGATGAAGGAGGACTGGTGGGGACAGTGAGGAGGCACAGGTAAGTGGGGGCAAGATTGGCTTTGTGCAAACAGGGGAGAGTCAGGCTGTTTTGTGTTTTAACGAAGGATCAGAATGATTGATTTGTCCCAGGCGGAGCAGTGGTTGTCCTGGGCCGGATGCATCCCAAGGGCTGGGCAGTGAAGCTTATTTTAGCTGAGATATTTGGCACATATGATCTCTGAGTGGAACCTTCCAGAGAGAGTCCCTGAATCTCACTTTCTCTTGTCATGGGTTGCCATTGCGTTGGCTCTAACTCATGATACCTTGTGTATAATAGCCTGAAATGTGGCCCAGTGTTGTACCATCTTCATCTTCATCTTCATGGGCCTGTTTGAGTTCATTGTTGCTCTAGTACGTGTCTCAGGTGGTCAGGCTTGTTTACTGTCTAGTTAGCAGAGGGAGCTCTGGTTGGCCTAGTGGTAAGAAGTTGTACTTCCAATCCTTAGGTATGTGGTTCAAATCCACCCACTGCTCTGAGGAGAAAGATGGGCAGTCTCATTCTGTGTGAATTAAAACCTCTGAAAACCTGCTGGAGGCTCAGCTACGGGTCGGTTCTGACTCAGTGGCATACAACACAAATTAGCAGAGTCCACGGAATCATTATCACCCAGCTTGTCTCCCTCCTTGGCCTGGAAGAGCCCCCAGAGGCCTCCACTGGCTACATGAGTCCCTCTTCAGTGTTCTCCCAGGCCCAGCCTGGCCCTTCAGCCTGGAAGCCTTTCATTCTGTCTTTGTGTAGACAGGGCCTCACTGGAGCAGGCCTGGCTGCTAACCTCTTACAGTCAGCTGCAAGGCCATCCTGAGGGTATCTGAGGTGACAGCTGGCCCTGGGATTGGATTCCCTGCTGTGACCTCCATGGTGGACTCCATGCTGTGACCTCCCTGACCAGGTGGGCCCCTCTGTGTGGGTTCCCACTGACTCTCATTACTAGCAGACTCCTAGGGCTTGTAGCCTTTTTTTCCCCTCTCACAGGCCTCTCAGATTCTAAGAGACCTTGTCATTTCGTAGGGGCAGTGACTTGTAAGTAGTTGGGCAAGTTTCCCCTTCCATCAGGGCACACACTCAGAAACTCCAGCCTTAGGAACCAGCCTCTTCCCCAGAACCTGGTGACTTGGACTCTGATAGGGAGGAGGCCTTCACAGCTCTGGGAAGCTGCTGGGTGGCGGTCCAGAGATGCTGCCAAAGGGCTGGGGGTGGCAAAACTCTTAGTTGAGGGGCACATTCTGAGAGCTCCCTGGGAGGCAGCTCCCCACAACTGTGGGCCAAAAGGCCAGACATGGGCCTCAGCTTTTGCAAGCGGTAGGAATTTATTTTGAATTCTTTGTCAGGCTCCAAAAACCACACAAGCTTTGGGGTCCACTCAAATGTCAGACAACCTCCTAAGCAGGACCAGATGCTGATGTGCTGGCTGCAGCATTCCCAGGGGTGGCCACCCAGCCCCCTGCTCTGTCCTTTGCCCGGGCCCTTGATCCCCCTCACCTTCTTTATGCACCCTCCAGTTCCAGTGACATTTGGTAGATGATGTCTAATGACAAGAATGGGGTCTAGGAAGCCAGAGCCAGACTCAGGTTTGGCCAAAAGTCATCCTCCAGAGAGACCCATTCCAGGAAGTCACCCGGCCCAGGTGTTTGGGTGTTTGGATGGAGCGTCAGAATGAGTTGGAAACTGCTTGTTGAGCAAGGGTCTCTAGGAGTATCTGTTGTCATTGACCAAGGCCTGGGAGCCTCTTCTGACAGCAGAACAAACGCTGAAGCCACAGTGTGGGAAGCTGGGTACTGCTGCAGGTCAGAGCCTCATGTGGGCACCCTCCGTGACAGTGCTAAAGAGCTGCTGGGCAAGGGACTCCAGCTACCACATTTTCTTGTCCAAAGTTTCCTAGAATAAAAAGGGCATGTTTGCTCTGCCGAGGCCACTTCATGCAGGTTCCCAGCCTCACTCTCCACCACCTTGACCCCTACGAGGCGTTCTTATGTAACTGTTCTGGCATCTTTTTCTTCAATGTAGGTCTCAGTGTTTACCCCCTGCCCCCGATTTTCCTGCCGTGTACCCACCTGCCAAAAGGGCTAAGGTTGCTCCCCACTGCATGTGTGTTAGTGACACACATGGATCCTTCTGTTCTGAATGGTTAACAAACTCAGCTGCTAACTGAAAGATTCAAGTTCAAGTCCACCCAGAGGCACCTCGGAAGAAAGACCTGCTGATCTGTTTCCAGAAATGTAGCCATTCAAATGAAGAGCACGATTCTGCTCTTATGTGCCATGAGTTGGACTGAACAGCATCTAGTTACGATTCTTATGTTGTGTCTTCTTCCAGCTTCCGCTGGACTGTCAGAATTTGCAGTGGAAAGAATTGATTAGCTTTTAGTGAGAGGCATCGTGGAGTTGGGGGATGGCTTAGAGCAGGACTTCAAGGCTTGACTTGGGCTCAGCCACTTTCCTCTTCTGTCCCCTTGGGAGGTGGATATTAGCTGAACCTCTCTACCTTGCTTTTTAATCACCTTCATGATCATTGTAATTTCAGTTGAGTGCCTTCAGGTCCAGAGCTTTACATCCCTACCTCATTTAATCTTCTCAGCAACCCCATTGTTGTTAGGTGCCTTTGGGTGGAGTATGTCTCATAATGACCCTATGAACAACAGACCTGAACCCTGTGCAATCCTCACCTTCTCCAAGACTCTTGCACCCATTGCTGCAGTCACTGTCAATCCATCTCATTGAAGGGACTTCCTCTCTCTTGCGGACCCTCCACCCATCATGCCATCCATTTCCAAGGAATGGCCTGTCCTAGCAAAATGCCTGAAGTATGTGAGATGAAGCTTTACTGTCTCTGCCTCCAACCCAGGTGTTGTTGTTGTTGTGTATCATCGAGTCAGAACCAACCCATAGGTAACCCTCTAGGGAGTTCTCAGAGGCAGTTAATTGCACAAGAAGAGATGCCCATCTTGCTCCCATGGAGTAGCTGCTGGATTCAAACTATGTGCCTTTGGGGTTAGAGTCCAGCTTCTTGCTCCTAAACTGCCACAACTCCCCTCCAACCCAATTAGGAAAGCTTGATTGATTTCATTTTACAGATAAAGAGTATGAGATGGAGGTAGCTCTCCTTTCTCAATGGCACAGCACCCTGGGGATGACAGAGTCAGGATTCAGCCGTAGCTCTTCCTGACCCCAGGCCTTGTGCTCAGTCCTCCAAGCCTAGTGTTATCCGTGACCCTGCCATCAAGGATGGGACCGTTGGAAGGGCTCTGTGAATGGTTCCCCCTCTGCTCATGCTTGTGCTGACTCAGTTCTGGTGACCCCACAGAAGGAACGTCTGCGGGGGACAGTGCTGCCCAGGATGGACGACGGCGAACAGCACCAACCACTGTATCAAACGTGAGTGCCTCCTCTCCTGTCCGCCCACCCCTCTCCCTCTGGAAAGTGGCCAGGTTGGGGGAGTCTAGAACTTGGATGAGAACTAGTGTCCCTGATTGCCTCCTGAGATACAGCCTGAGAGGATGCTCATCTAGAAGGAAGAACAAAGGACTTGCAATCTCCTTCTGAAATATCAGTCCCTGAAAACCCAGCTGAGCCCAGCTCTGCTCTGAAAATAGGGGTCAATGGTCAGAATCACTCATAGGGGAGCAACTGATTTTATGTTTTTGGTTTCTTCTCCCAAAAAACTCGACTTAAGGTCCCTCTTAATCACTGCGTGCTGCTACCGAATCTCTTGTCTTACTTCAGCTTTCTGGGGTTCACTTTCTACATCTATAAATATGCTACTACAGTCAGCACCATTAAACTACTACGGGATACTACTGTTTCTGGTTTTACAACAGTTACTACTACACTCGTCGCGTTCTGCTATTATGATTATACTACCACTCCTAGCTAAGGAGCTCTGGTGGCCTAGTGGTAAGAAGCTGGGCTACAAGCCCAAAGGCACGTGGTTTGAATCCACCAGCTGCTCTGTGGGAGAAGGATGAGCAGTCTCCTCCTGTGTGATTTACTGCACTGAAAAGCCCTCTGGAGGGTCAGCTCTGAGTCAGTTCTAACTCGACGGTACACAACAACCTGGCTAATATGAGAACTATGGTGTAGTTTGTGGAGGGTTGTACTGATAATCCAGTCTCCCTGCCTCTCTGGGGGTTCGAACCCACCAGTGGTTCTAATCTACCAGTGGCCCCTCAGGAGAAAGATGGGCTTTCCCCTCTCATGGAATTTACAGCCTTGGAAAAGCCTCGGAAGGGACCACTAGGAATTGACTCCAAGTAGGTGGCAGTGAGTCAGAGAGACAAAGAGAGAGGGAGACTACCTAATACCTAATAGTAAAAAGGCATTTACAATGTGCCCAACATTGTCAAACTCTTCACAGACTTCATCTTAGATTATTTAGACTGGCAGCAATGTTATAAGTAGGTATAGTACCTGCAAAAGCTGGGACCTGTGTAAGGTGGAAACCTCCGCAGAGAAGGCAAACACATATTTTCCACTAACAGAAAGTGATAGTGAAGTGGTAAGACTGTATGCAGTCAAAAGCAGACAATTTGCAAAACCCAGAAAAACAAGACAGTCCCATTGAGCTCTCACGGGTCACACTGATTGTGTCATCTCCACCTACAGGCAAGGGAACTGAAGTTCACGTGGGGTAGGAAATGTGGTCAGGGATACACTTGTGCACAGGCTAGGACTAGACCCAGGCAGTCTGAGGCTGGGACATTCTGGTGCTTGGAATTCCCACAGGCCTGGAGCCCCTTGGGTCTTTTTCCTTTTTAGCCAGCTCCCTTGGTCTCTGTGGAGCCGAGGAGCTCCGCCTGACTCTCTTGTAGCTGGTGCTGTCTTCTGCCTCGCCCAGAACTTGGCTGGAAAGCCTCCAGCCTGCCAGCTCCCCTTCCTGCCCCCAGGATACTCCCTGAGAAGGTGCTCAGATGGACCAGTTCTGGTCCAGGTGCATGACAGGATTCACTGAGCTCCCTGCACTGGTTGGATGCTTTCTTCTTTGTCACTCTCTCTGCCTTCCTGAGATGGGGATGCTTTCAGTGCTGCAGGGCTGGGCTATTGGCTTGCTGCATGGCCCTGTCCCTCCCCTAGTCTGCAGATGCAGCTCAAGCAGACAAATCCCAACCACAACACCAACACCAAACAGCAGCAAGGTAGATCTTCCGCCTGGATCTGTTTCTCCTCAGAGGAACTGGATCTTCAAGGGCGTGAGGGTAGCTCTCAGAGGTCAGGTCCCCAGGTAGGACAGGCAGGGCTAGGGGAGGGAAACTTGGTCCTCATCATTTTAAAGGTGAAGAGAGTGAGCTTTACAGAGGTAATGACTTGTTCAAGCTCATGAGAGGAGGATCCAGGACTCAGAATCCTCCCTGAGCACCTCCACAGGTCAGAGACACCACGGTGTGCATGGTTTTACACTATGCAGATTCTCTAGAGGGAGGGCTTGACCTTGACATTTTAAAAAACACTCTGCATGATTCTGGCTGGACCAAAAAGGATTTCACAGGTTTGAGTTCAGTTATGAGAAAAGCTTGTGGTCTAGTGGTAAGAAGCTGCACTGCAATCCCAAAGGCATGTAGTTCAAATCCACCAGCTAGCTACTCTGTTGGAAAGATGGGAAATCTGCTCCCATGCAATTTGTTGTTGTTGTTGATGATGGTCTTCGAGTCGAGCACGACTCATAGCAACCCTATGAACAAAGCCTGAAGTCCCTCTACAACTATCGACGTTTATCAAAGTTCATAGAGTTTCTGGAAGCTTCCAAACCTGTCATAGTATGTTATTGCATCTGAAAACTGACTGGAGAGTCAGCTATGGGTCAGTTCTGACTTGACAGCACACAGCAACAACATGAAAAAATCTTGGGTGAGGCCAAGAAGTTGCATTGCCTACTCAAAGAATGCATCTCTCTGGTGGTTCGAATCCATCGTCCTCTTTGAGGGAGGAATGTGGACAATCTCCTCCTGTGCAATTTATAGGCTCAGGAACCCATGAGAGGGTCAGGTATGTGTCTCACTCGATGGCAGTGAGTGACTGAATGAGTATGGGGTGGGGCTGGAGATGTCGTTTCTAACAAGTTCCCATGGAGGTGATGGTGCAGGTCCAAGGGCTGCGCCTGGAGTAACTGGGGACTCTGGAGGCCTGGGAAGGAGTTTGGGGTGAGAGATAGGGAAGATGGTTAGAGTGTTGGCTGAGGTAGCATTGGCTGATGGAGAGTGTTGCTGAAGTTTGAGCTGAAGCCAAAGCCGGGTGAATTATAATGCGGTGGGCTTCTCCCCTGCTGCCGGAAGGGCCTGGGCACAATGCTCTCTCATACCCTCTGGCCTTGGAGGTGCTCAGTTTTCCTAATTCGCTCGTGATTTTCCAGCAGGACTCTGCCAAAATGGGGTTTCGACACTGGAAACTTGGGGTTGGGCGACTCTGCAGAATGTCACAGTACCCCTGTGTGTGCGTGTGCCCTCGTGCCCATGGGGTGCTGCTCCAGAATGCTCTCAGCACCCCCTCTAGATTCAGCACATCCCGTGCTTGGGGGTCCTCTCCGCCTGTAACTTTGCTGTCTGTCTGGCTCACCCTGCTGTTCTTACCCACTGCCCGTGAGAATCCTGCCAGGGGTGCAGGCATTTCCCATCGAGTCCTGCCTGCCCACGGAGGTCTGTGTGTTAATTAGCTGATCCCTGTTCTGTTTGCCTGTTGTTATGTTGCTGCTAACGAGCCTAATGAGAACCACGTGGGAAGCGGGGTGTTGGCCCAGGACCGTTGGGTCCAGCGCTCCGTGCAGCACTCCATGGAACGTGGGGTCTTGGCTCCACACCCTGTCAGCTGGCGCCCCTGCTTCCCCAGCGGCTTTTCGTCTCTTTCTCCCCTCCCCACAGCTGCCCTTCTGGCTGGAGCAGGGACTGCCAATGCCAGGGAATGCTCATGGCTCTGTCCTAGCTGTTTCACACATGTGGGTGCCTCCCTGGGTTAACAGGGGAGGGATGTAACATCGCCCCAGTGCCAAGAATGAAGTTTAATTCCACAACGACAGAGATTCTCAGTCTGTCTCCTGAGCTCTCCTAGATTCTCATGGGCTGACCCAAACCCATGAGGAGAGATGGTCCTGGATCAGCTGGCCACACCCCAGGCTCCCTCACCTCTCCTTACCTAATCCTAGGATATACCCATCCAACCTCTTCACTCTCCTAGGATATACCCATCCAACCTCTTCACTCTCACCTGATCAGTGTCCCTCCTTCATCCCTGCTCAGTCTCCAGCTTCCCAGAGCCACCACATCTACAGATGCCCATTGCAGAGATGCCAGCTCCTCCCTCCACCTTGGCCAAGTCTCCAGCTGGCCTGCCGTCTCTTCCTCTAGCCTTGGTATCTGCCTTTCTCTCTGTGGCTTTGCCAGCTCTCCCATGGAGTTGATGTGTTTATGGATTTGTGGAGGCAGCTGACTTTGGGGACTCTTGGGCCCAGCTTAGCTGAAGGGAAGGACAGTAGGGTGTGGGGTGACGGTGTCCTGTTTATAGTTGCTGCTTTTGGAAGACTCTTCCATCTTCCAGGGTGGCTTATTTCTGTCACCACTCCAACATGCAGAACATACACACACACACATACACACACACACACACACACACACACACACACACACACTGACACACACACACACACACACACACACACACACACACACACACACTCACTCTCTCTCTCTCTCGGCTTCTCCAGGTCAACACTGGAGAATAGGTTGTGGAGAATTCTTTGGATTTCCCTCAGGTGAGGGTAGAATTGTTTTTACAGCTGTTGATTGTGGTCTCTACCCCAAGAAGTAGCAAGACTCAAAGTGTTGGATCCTGGTGGCAAGTTCAAGGACATGTGGGTTTGAATCCCAGCTCTGTGTCCTCCAGAAAGTGTCTGGATGTCAGCTAGCCACTCGACACAAGCTCACTGCAGTTGAATCAGAACTGACACAGCTGACTGTCCAGAGGGTTTTCAGAGGCTCTAAATCTCACGGGAGGAGATTTCTCATCTTTGTCCCTCAGAACAGCTGGTGGATCCGAATTGCCTACCTTTGGGTAGGGAGCACTATTCTTTACCCACTAAGCTACCAACACCTAATTTACAAAGTGAGTATAATAATCTAGATAGTTGTTTCTGAGAATTACTAATAATGGCACTTCATGGCTCTTATTGTGTCAGGTATTGTGTTCTAAGCACTTTACATTATTCAGCTTTAATCCACACAACTCTTTGAGCTAACCTTGACTTATATCCCATTTACTGGGGAGGTTAACTCTGTACAAGGCCACTATGCAGCTGGAAATCAGTGGAGGCTGCATATAAAGCCAGGTTGCCTGGCTCCAGAGTACAAAAGCTTCATGCTATGCTCTCTGCTCAGTGCATAGAATGCTGAACG